ATCAAGAAAGATCAAAAAAAGCCAAGCCCATGTTTGGCCAGTGTGTTTTGGTATAATAGATTATTCATGAAATCAGTCATACATTTTTGAGCAGTGTGAAATTCATAAATGAAAACAATCATATACATTTTTGGCAGTGTGGAATTCATACATGAAAATAGTGTGGAATTCATACATAAAAAGAGCTATACATTTTTTGGGCAGTGTGGAATTCATAGATGAAATTAGTCATACATTTTTTGACAGTGTAGAATTAATACGTGAAATCACTGCCACATAAATCAATGGACATTACACTACAACATGAAATTAAGGAACACAATAATACATTTACACATCGCCGTAAGATATAACAACATATATTCATTCTACACTGCCACATAAAAAACTCACATATAAAAAACTACACTGCCCACTACACAATTACGAGTGAACAACCACACTGCCCAAAATAATCATATTTTTTGGCAGTGAATAATGAACATATACTGTTTAATTAAAGGACAAAATCGGAATTACATGTATGAAACATTTAGCACTGCTATTTAGAGTATTTTAATGCTCTTAGAGTGCTATTTTGGTTTTTCTCCCTTTCATATATTGATGCTTTTCTTTTTAATAGCATTAACTATATTAGAATGTAATGCTTCTTCCGTCTCATAAAATTTTTCATGTTCTTTAAAATTAGTAATTTTAGTCTTATTTTTTAAATTACGACTCATTTATCATGCACATCTCATCCTACACTATTATAAAGTAAGAGCAAAAGTAGAAAATAACACCAAAATTACTCTTTTTAAGGATTCATTCACTTTTTTAAAAAAGGAAGGATTTTATGAGACGGAGAGAGTATATGTTTAGATTTATATTTTTTCAACCTACAGATGAACCTATGATCTCTCATTTTGAAGAGCTAGTGATATCGTTGGACTATAATGTCTTTGACTATATTGGTGGTGTAATATATAGTGATTTTAATACTCACTCCGTCTCTAAAAGATTGCCACAACTTGTCTTTTCTGGTCAAACGATGACAACCTTTGACCACGGATTATACTCCCTCCGTCCCAAAAAGAATGAGACGGTTTGACTTTTTGGGAAATTTAGGGAGAAATATTTTGGTATTGACTTTCCAAAAATACCCTTGATGTGATGGGTAAAAGTAAGATGTGATGGGTAGATTATTAGGAAAAAAGTATGATGTGATAGGTAGGGTATGAAAAAGTAAGGGGTAAAAGTGGTTTTTTAATAGAAATGTAACGGACTTTACGGGACGCAGTTTTTTTCCTAAACGTAACAAACTTTTTGGGACGGAGGGAGTATATAGTTTAAAATAATTAAATATTATAAAAATTTGATATTTCAAAGCTATATTTTAAAATAAACCCAATTTTACTAAATAACTAAATATATTTTTTCCATTATTCACAGTCAAAGGGTGCCAAGTTTGACTAAAAAAGTCAAACTGTGACAATCTTTTAGGAACGGAGAGAGTATGTATTTAAACTGGCTCAATTTGGAGATGGAATATGTGTTTAGAGGGGTAAGAAAAATAAATTTTTTCAAATAGTGCACTCTAGATATTATTGTCATATTATGACAACAAAAATTTTTATCAAAAGAAGGGAGCCGTTTATAAATATATTTTAAGTAAGATTGATTTGGTGGACCTAAGGTTCACATGGACCTTCTCACATATTTGTTTTTCAGTTTTGAAAATACTTATTTCAATACTTAAAAATACTTACTTAATATATATGAAGGTCCATCATGAACCTGATGTGCATTTAATAATTTGCCATTAAGTAAAAGTACAAAGTATAAAGTTAGTAGGAGTTTTCACTTCACATTTATGGTCTTATGGACTAAAGTAAAACAATCACATGATGATATAGGACACCCACAATGTCTAGTTTGTAAAATTGGTAGTTCCTATATTTTTAACCTCCTAATCCATGATCTACTCCTCCATCACTGATTAACTATAGTGAAACTGTAGCCAATCGGCTAGGGAGAGAGGATGCAGGGGGCATGTGGACACATATTTTCATAGAGTTAGAAGAAGTATGAACCATCATTATTTCAAATTGATAACTGTAAATATCCAATCTCAGGGGGTGTATTTAATCTAGATTTTATAAGATTCTGATAGATTGTTTAGAGTCTGTTGATTCTGTAAAATCAATGGATTGATAAAAGTTTACGCAGAGTTAACTAGATTTTACTGTATTTTATCAACAGATTTCATAGGATTCTAGTAGATTGTTTATAATCCATGGATTATTTATTTTTTTAAAAATTCATACATTATGCTAACATTAATTATATTATGAAATTGAACAAAAACTTAAACTAACAATAATATATTAAAATAAAAATAAATTATTTTTAAATATTATTATCATTATTATAAATTTATTAGAACAAAATAATATATGAGTATGTACCATAAAAATATAATACAATACTGCAACTCTAAAGTATATGAACCATAAGAAGATATTAAACCAAACATATTTTAGGAACAACTTAATAATAATACGCAAGTACCCAAAAACAATTTAATAAACTAGAGTACTCTTAACTCTCAGCAAAAACAAAGTCAAATAAAACATTTGAAATAAAATCACATAATTCTTTCATTCATCCTAATATATCTTCTCATTTTATCCTCTCATCTTGTGGTGTATCCAACTTCACCGTTCCTCAGGTGACATCTTCAAGAAGACATCTTTTTTTCCTTTGTTATCAAGCAACTCAACCACCTTAAACTGGGTTTCCTCATCTAAGCCCGGGGTATCCTTGATGGCATCCCAAATTGTATATTCTCTTTCTCTTTTCTCTAGCAGGCTATAAATTCCTTTGAAACTTGTAGATATTTCGTTTAGCCTTTCCATGACGCCACTTCCTTCATATGTACTCCTGTTTCTTTTGGTTTGTGTTATTTTTTGCATGGGAACCTCGTGACTTTTAGGAGATAAGAGCGATGATGTGGAGGGAAAAGGTGGGTCACTTTGAGATTGACTTATGAATGCATCATTTCCAAGTCATAATCAAGGTCATCTATATGCACCTCTCTCTCTTCTCATGCGCTCAATGTTCTTGCATCAGTTGTACTACCTAACCCAATTGAGTTTTTTCCAACAGCTACATCGTTACCAATTGCGATTTCCAAGTTTTCATAATCCTGAAATTTTTCATAACTTAACTTGTTGCTATGCTTTGGATGGGCCTATAAAACAGCATAAAAACAAATTTATTATTGCATTACATCTTTCAAAAAAATTATTTATTCCAATAATTTTTCATATAATGTACTTACCTTGAAGTAATCTGCCCATACTTTATCAGTGGTAGTGAACATCTTTGTAGTAGAGTCAAATCCAAAACTAGAGCTAAAACGCATAAGCTCTGAATAGGCGTTCCATTTATTTTTAAACCATTTCAATCGGCTTTGGTAATTGAGATAGTTCTTGTAACACCCAAGCCTTTTATTAAGCGCAGGAAGTATCCTCTCTTCCACTGTTTGCTTAGAAAAAATACCACTATTATCACGCCATCCCCGAGCAGTTGCATCTATCATGAGCTCTAACAATACATCACTTTCTTTAGTTGTCCATTGCTCATATCCTCCTTTTTTTGGTATCTTGTTGTTGATTACTCATCGTGATATTGCTACGAAAGTAAAAAAGAAAGGAGTATATATCCAAAATTAGGTAATACTTCCCAGTTATTACTGAAATGAAAGCTCTTATATTATAAGCTAAGCTCTTCTTATTAACTACTCCATATTATAATCAAATAGCTTCCTCTGCAGCTACTAGCAGTAAGTTTAAACAATTGAATACATAAAATAAGTTGCCCCACTCGTGTAGTAAAACCTGAGTGCAACACGAGTGTCAATGGAGGACCGGCAATTGCTTTTCTCTTATTGGGTTCAATAAGTAATTCTAGGGTTTGAGTGCAAAAAAAATACGGAGTGATAGAGAACAAAAATGCTCAAACATTCCATCAAAATATTTTTTAAAAAACAGAATGCAATACGAGTGACCAATTGATTTTTTAAATAAAAAATAAAGAAAAAAACAGATTGAACGGGAGAAAACAAGCCTATAACTTGGAAGCATAAACAGAGGACCATAATATATACTGGAATTCTAATATTCACTGGATTTCTCAAGCCAGAGGACCATATTCATACAAAAAAAATTCATAATAAAAAAGAAATTCATTATAGTTTATTGGGATAGAGAAGATCTTACTCTGAAGGCTTGAGAACGATGGAAGGAGGTTGGAGAAGAAAAACCTGCGCCGCGACGGAAGAGGAGATCGATGGAGAAGATTTGTGGAAGAAGAGATGAACTCTAAGAGGAGACCGAGAAGATGAAGTGAAAGAGGCTTTTGGATTCCACAAAATCCCTGGCCCTTCCTTTGGATTTGCAAAAATCTTTTTTATTTATACTTTAGGCTAAGAATCCATCAAAATCCATTCTTTATAACAATTCTTGAAAATCTATCAATTTTTCAATATCATTAGATTTAGAAAGACTTTTTAAAATCTCAATTGAATACATCTAAATTTTAAAAGATTTTTTAAAATCTTAATTGAATACCCATTGACTTTTAAAATCCAAAAAAATCTTACAGAGTGGATTGAATACACCCCCCTCATTCTATTATATTATTCATTTCGTCCATATTTTTATTCACATTTGACACTTCACGTTCTTCAATTGGTCATTAATATTTTTATCAAAAAATAAATATAAATTTAAAAAATATAATATCTTAAAATTACATTTCCAAATAAATTTATTGATATTATGTTTATATCGTAATCTCATTTTTTCATTTTTTTAATAATTTGCTATCGAAATTTTAAAATGCTAAACATGTTATTTTGGCCGAAGAAACAAAAATTGCCATGCGATCCCTGTTATTTCTTTTTATGTTAATTTTAACCCGAGCTTTTTCACTGTGGTGCTATCTTGAGTTCAAAGAAAACTCTCTCCGTCTTCATCTGCCGTATATTTTGATTGTTCAGAGCCCCGAGCAGCTCCCAAATCAAGGAGAACAACACCAGTAGTCTAACAGAAGGAAGAGAAGAGATGAGCAGCATAGGCACTGGCTACGATCTATCGGTGACGACGTTCTCGCCGGACGGCAGAGTTTTCCAGATCGAGTACGCCGCAAAGGCCGTTGACAACAGCGGCACGGTCATCGGCATCAAATGCAAGGATGGAATCGTGTTGGTATGGATATAGGGATAGTAAATATGTGATTTTACGCTTAGGGTTATTGATTTCTTTAATAGTTTTTGAGGGTTTGAGTACAGGGTGTTGAGAAGCTGATTGCTTCGAAGATGATGTTGCCCGGATCCAATCGGCGAATTCATTCTGTTCATCGCCACTCCGGCATGGTAATTTCTTATCTGATTCTGTAATTTTTGTGCTCTTCTGCCTGTAAGCTCATCCTCAATGAAGTAATTGAAGCAGTGAAATTACTATTTTTTCAACATGGAATTTTTTTCCACTACTTAATAAAAAAGTACAGTATATTGTTACTATTACGTAACTAGTTGCGTAATTAGTCCACATCCAGATGTGGTCTGAAGGCCATGGAAGTAGGGTTCCATTATACTCTAATTTGTAGATGTTCCCAAATGCTTTTATTTTTTCAATTTCCAATTTCATCTACATAACATTTCCTTGTGAAGCTTGTTCTGAAATATATTTAAGGGCATATGATTTTATGTGGCCATTGTCACTAATAATCTTCTTATAAATTGTAAAATGGTCTAACCGTGAAATCCTTGGAAAATCTTTTCTCCTTTGTGGACTCATTCATATTTGAAAATGTTTTGAGTTTGTCTTCTGTATTGCCATTTTCGTATTTATACTTTCTTGCCTTGCTCACTAAATTTGCATGGCAACCACTGATTTCATCATTATGGGAAACAAACATGAAACATTTCATTGTTTGGTTAATCTTGAAATGATTAGGTCATAAGTAGTGCTCTGTATATAAATACCCTTGGCCCTACATTGATTTTCCTCAGAGAATCATACTCCGTATTAGATTTTATGTACTTATGGGGTAATTTGGTCCGCAGACATCTATTTTCTCTTTCATCTGGAATCAATAATACCTAAGGTCTAAGGATGACTAGGATACTCCTTTCCTCACTGTGAAGGAATGATCTCCCAAGGAATTTGTTTGGCAATCAAAACAAAGGACGTCCTTCCCTTGAGATTAACCATGAATTAAAATATTGTATCACTACAATGAGAATCTCAATGGAGTTTGATAGTAAATATTTGCAGGCGTTGCAGCTGCAACTTTTTCTCCCCTTGTTGCCATCTCATATTCTTCTCATTTGCAGGCTGTTGCTGGATTAGCTGCAGATGGGAGGCAAATTGTTGCACGAGCAAAATCCGAAGCAACCAACTATGAAAAGTATGTTCATGAATTAATGATAATTTTACTGTTCACATGGCCTATGCCATTACATGTACAATTTTGAGCTATTGTTTAGGTTTATTATTGTTAGTTTGTGGGAGTGTCATGTTTCTTTTTTTAGTATGGTAGTTTTTGTTGATTTTTTAAATCATACGGAGTATGATTTATCATTCTATCTACTACTGTGATTTTTAAAACCTGCTAGTGATGTACTTCCACAATTGTCTCTCGGATAAGGCGTACGCAAGCAAATCACTTCAGAAAGGGAGAAGTTGCTAGTGGTTAACTTGGAAAAGTAAAAAGGCTATGTATTTAAATTAGGAATTTACTTTTTTTTGTTATGGCAAACCAAAAAGAAGTTTGCAGTGTGTCCGTGCATGTGTGCGCGCGGGCATGTATGTGTGTTGATGGGCTGATAATTTTCAATGTCTTGACAACCAGTATACCTTTTTAATGTGAAAGAAAAGAACAGTAAATTTGGGTTAATTCCAAAATTTATAACGTTTTTGACACGCCACCATTATAAATCTCATTTACAAATTTCTCAATTTATTTGTTTTTTTGCAGGGTCTATGGTGAACCTATTCCAGTGAAGGAACTTGCCGAACGAATTGCTAGTTACGTGCATTTATGTACACTTTATTGGTGGCTCAGGTTTGCTAAATCTACTTTCTCCTTTTGTTGCTTATAAGAATCCATTTTCCATTTACTTGTGAATTGGGCATTAAACGTAATGAGAAATTTGCTACAGACCTTTTGGTTGTGGGGTGATTCTTGCGGGATATGATAGAGAAGGTCCACAGTTGTACATGGTTGAACCTTCTGGTGTATCTTATGTGAGTTGGTGTATTCTGTTTGTTTTACATCATTTAAGTTGTTTCTCTATATTAAATAGTCATTTGTGACATGCTTCAAATTAATTTTATTTTATAGGGTACTTTCACATATTTTTATGTATGTTTTTATTGTCGCAGAGGTATTTTGGTGCTGCTATTGGGAAAGGCAGGCAGGCTGCCAAGACGTAAGTGGTTGATGTCTTTTTAATAATATTCAAGTATCCAACCCTAAGTTTCAATGGTTGTAGATGCACATATTGGCCTTCAAGTCATTGCTTTTACAGTTTTACTTATCTCTACTATTAAAATGTGTTTTTAATTGCACTGATTGATCTACCTGTTAATGCATGGCTAAATTGAACTACGGCCAGTGAAATTGAGAAATTGAACCTCTCCGAAATGACATGCCGGCAAGGAGTTATTGAGGTAGCCAAGATGTGAGTGTCATCTTCTCTTAATTCGAATTCGATAATACATATCCATTTTAATTTTTTTGCAAAAGTTAAAGTTGCACGTGTATATGTACTTGTTTTTTAACCATTGTCAACACTTCAACATTTTACATGATAACTACATCATTACCGTCATTAACACCCCAGTCCCAGGTATGTTGGATTGGTGACACGGAATTTTGTGTTAGTTAATCATCTAAAATTAGTTAACACTATAAATTCATGCAAAAAACACTGTAACAAAGTTTTTTGTTGTATGCCCGTCTACCATCTACAGAAGAAATCCAAAATTGTCATCTTCATGGGTATTTCCACCTGTTGAAGATATCATGAGATGACAATGTGTTAGATTGTAGCTTTATTTATGTCTCATACATGATAACTGCCCCATCCGTCCCCAAATAAAAGTTTCAATTTGTTCACTTGCTTTTTCATTGACAGTTTGATAAAATAGCACAATCATGTTACATCTTGTTTTGTAAAACTTTGGCATAGTTTCAAATGTGTAAGTTTGAATTTTTTTATTTCTATACCAATTTTTAAATAAAATGAATTAAAACACATTTCATTTTGCCTCGAAATTCCCATGGTGTCTTTTATTTGGGGACGGAGGAAGTACATGCTTTAGCATTCCTTTTTTGCATATTGAAGCCATAGACACGGCTGGCCCTAAGGGTTTGCCAAGTGGCACCTGCATAGGGACCCATAATTTTGTAGGGCTCAATTTTTTAAGGCTTCATAGTAATGATTAGTTGACATGTAAAAAATGTTTTTTGGTATATAATTTGATATATTAATAGTTAAAACATTGCATTATAAAACTTAACTTTGACACTAAATTTGAGATGGCGGAAGTATTATTTAGGTTGCAAATTAAAGAAGGCATAAAACATATTTTTGCACATGGCCTTTTATAATTTTTTCTCATTTCAGGGTGGGCACTGGCCACTGATATTCACATTTTCTTTAGAATCTGTTTGGTTAGTAACAAAAAAGAGAAAATTGAGCTTGTAGGATGAAGAATATGAGAACGTTGGTAATTTTTATGTGTTTTCTGATTGGAAAGAAATTATTGATAGAAGTGAAAGAAGTGTGTTATTTTTAAAATGACCTAAATACAGTTCAATTTAAAAATGATATGAAGGATAAACATGGCGTAATACTCAAATGCATAAGAACACAATTTAGGGTTCGGGAATTCTGTGCAAGTAAAAATGCAAAACTAGGATGTTGAGTAGGAAATAAATGTGACATCTCAACTAATTAGAAGTGCTAATTATGTTTGAGGACCATTTTCAAAATAATTTTTTTTTATAAGATGACTTAAACAATTTTTTTACTTTGACAAAAAACAAAACTCAACAAAACTCGCCTATTTTACAGGGACAACATATTTAACCCTTATTTTTTAATTTTAAATAAGGGCTTTTTTAATGGGAAAAACATCAAAAGTTAATAATAAGAATAAAACCTAAAGGGACTTATGCAAGGAATGTGCAATGGCATTTGTTCATTTACAGAAATAGAGCCATAGAAAAAATACACACTAATGAAATGAAATGATAAAATGTGGCTCAATCTGAATTTTCAATAGTGTGATGGAACATGCGATATGGTATATTATGCTGGATAGATGAAATCATAGACAGTAGGAAAATAGAAAAGTTGGATTGTACTAATGCAATGAACTGAGTTCAGTATTGTGATGGAACATATGAAATGGAGGGATCTTGTTTTCCAATTCATGTGCAAGTGCTTGCAGCAAGAAGCTTTAGCTTGATCTCATGCAGATGCTATGCAGTTCATTTAGAAGTGATCTAGTGTTTCCTCCCATCTAGTATGTTCCATTACGATTCCAAGTTGCTATTAAGCTACATTCCCTTGGAAACACCTGAATTACTCCCTTCTTAATAGCCTCTAACCTGTAATTCCTCAGAAACACTTCAATCCCTTTTAGGCATTGGTCTATTAGAGCATTATGGGGTACAGTTTAGTTATATGTGTAGTTGTCCGTTAGGTTCCTCCATTCCGTGTTATACTCCCTCAGTCTCATATAAAAACCTTTTTATTATAGGTTGTGATGCTTGACTGAAGTTATTTTCCGTTCAGTTTATTAAATAGCTATTGTAGAAATTTAAAAATAAAGTTTATGTATTTTAAAAATGCATCAAAAGTGCTACAAAACAATGTGGCTTGAATATATTATTATGACAACAAGTTAGGAAAGAAGATATGTTTTGACCTTGTGAACAGTCAAGGGGAAGAATTTTTAACTCATTTTGTTTTCTTCTGTTCATCCTCTTTATTGATATGCATATACATCAAGCTATATCTGGATTGCTTGTTTCAGTCTTCATCTAGTGCCAACTGAGAATTCGCCGGAGCAGTTTTTGCTAGTGCCTTATTATGATATTTTAAACCTTGCCATGAACTTATGGAGAGTGGTTTTGACATAGTGTTTGATTTATGCTCAGAATTTACGGCGTACATGACGAGGCAAAGGACAAGGCCTTTGAATTGGAAATGAGCTGGGTATGCGACGAGTCAGGTTGCCAACATCAAAAGGTAGCATTAAATAACTATTGGGTTACCAATATTTCCCCGCTTTTTCGTCCAAGCTTCGCGTTTACTCCCCAAGTTATACATTCATTCAACACCACTTCTAGTCATTTGTTGATTGACCTCTCCATTTTTAGTGTGGAAAGGTATAACTGAGGGACTATGAGTCTCTTCTTTTGGATTTTAACTCAGAACTTATAACATTTTCTCTTTCTTTCTGGTTTTTTCGAACTTTGAGTTTCTTATAACTCTTTCCAGGTTCTTCTAACTCATTCCAATATGTAACTCTGTTTTTGCCACACTTTTAGGTGCCAGAGGATCTGCTAGAAGAAGCCAAGAACGCAGCCAAAGTTGCACTTGAAGAAATGGATGCTGATTAATTAAGTTGTATCACTTTTTTTATTGTACTCTTGTTTGACCTTTACTCCTTATGAAAAAACACTAGCATTTGTTTTTATATAAGAACACTAGCAACTCTGGTTTTCTATTGAACCATTTTGTACTCCACCCTTTTTTCCCCTTGCAATCAGTGGCACTTATTATTATTATTATTATTATTATTATTATTATTATTATTATTATTATTATTATTATTATTATTATTATTATTATTATTATTAATTTTATTATGATTATTATTATTGCCATTTCATCCTAAATATTATGCTCTGTTATTGAGTGGTTGTAAGAAGCAAAAAGCTTAGGGAACTCTTGTAACATCATTTTTTTGACACCAAAAGAATACTCCGTATGTGATTATTGCGTATTATAAGTAAATATTACTCGTACTCCCGTTTCAAATTAAATTTTTTGTTTGCTATTCACATACTCCGTATTTGAATTATATTCACTTTCTTTCTCTACTTTTGTTAGTCATTTGATAAAATAATATAATTATGTCATCATTAATTTTTGAAATCTTTTGATGTAGTTTTTAAATATATAATGTTTTATTTATTTAATTTTATACTATTTTTCATATAAAATAATTTGAAAATAACTTCAGTCAACATTGTAAATCGAAATGGATAATTAAAATAAGGCCAGAGTGAGTACATTTTATTTTGTTGTTTGATAATGAAAAGCATGTCTCAAACTCCATATACAATCATTTAAACTCCCTCAAAATATTAAGTGCTTGATACACATTGAAGGGCTTCAAGTACAAAATTGTAGAAACGCAAGATAGGGTCTTTAAGAAAATAACGTTAGATATTAGCGTTATCTTTTTGAAAATATTATCTACGGATAACATTTAGCATTAGCGTTTTGAAAATATTATCTAAAGCTATTCTCTAACGCTATTACCAAACACGCCCATAATCAAACTACAAAGTTTATAAATCATTAATTAATGACAACAATTAAAGCAATATGGTTCAAACATGTTTGGTGATCAAAGTTTGAGAGTCAAGTCCAGTTCTACAACATCCTTGGCATCTTGATTCCTAGGGGGGTTATTACAGTTGAGTACAAAACCATGCCGGGGAGTCACCGGAGAGCTACCGGGGAAGCCGGGGGGTGCGTCGGAGACATCCATCGCCGGCGGCAAACTCCGGGCACAATTTGAATGCTGGCTAGGCATCACGGGAAACGCGGGACCGCTCTCCGTCGCCGAAAATGGAAGCGTATAATGACGCCTGGGCGGGATCGCCGCCGGAAGCACGGAATGCGGCGGCCGCGGCGGCCGGGAATACGGTTTCGACATGGCGCGCTGCCGGCTGAGCAGTTCCTGGTACCATGTGATCTGCCCGCCGGAGCAGCCGGGGAAATGGGACAGAGAAGCGGGGAACGAAAACGCGTCGCCAACGCCACCGCCGCCAAAGTACCCAAAATCCAAAAATCCGGCGGCAGCGGCGGCGGCGCTTTTCTTCGCCGTCTTCTCCATCGCCCTCTCCACCCGGTGGGCATTCTGGTGGCCTCCCAACGCCTGCTTATTACAAAACCTCTTTTCGCAGTACCGGCAGCAATAGTCCGCCGCCTCCGCCGCCGCGTCGCCGCCTTCTTGAAGCTTTTCTTCTCCATTCACTCCGTTCTTATTGTTATCATTACCATCAGCCATGGCTTGTCTTTTTTTTTTCCTTTCAAAAACTTAAAAATAGCAAATTAAGGTTTAAGAATACTAATTAATGAATATGATTAGCTTGTAACATAAAAATGGATTTATTTATATAGGAAGAAGAAATGGGAGAGCTAACTTGTATGGAATGAGATTGTATATAGTAAGTAGAGACATTTATGCAATTTAAAGAAAGATTTTAATATGTTTCTTATAATAGTGAAGTTTAGCTTAACTAAGTCTTGTGGAAGAGGTGATGGCATGAACATGTACTAACATTATGGCCTTGTTTGGATACTAGCAGTTGACAGTTTGCTGTTGGCTGTTTATGTTAGCTGATTTGAATGGCTGATTGAGTTAGCTGTTTTGATCGGCTGTTTCTGTTAGCAGTTAAATTTTAAGTGTTTGGCAACTTTAGCTGTTTATAGTTAGCTGTTTGTAAATAAAATTACATAAAAGGACATCCCTCCATTTATGGTATATTTTATTTTACAATTTTTTTTAAATATCATATCATAAATATATTTTTTTTAAATTAAAAAAATTAAATAAATAAATAAATAAATATATATATATATAGACATGATATTTATTTTTCATTTTTTTACATGTAAAAATTAAATCTTTACTTTTATGGAATATTAAATTTTAATTTCATTTAATTCATAATAAATTATAAATATAAATTTTTTAATGAATTATAAATATAATTTTTTTTTAATTTCATTTTATTTTTTCGTATTTAATTTTTTTAACTTTTATTTTTATTTTTTACATATATTATAAAATATCTTTCAACAAAAATGATTTTAAAAAAAATATTTTTTCTAACCGCCAAGTCCAAATGCTACTCACCTTGGCATTTCAAATTTTGGCTTTTCGGATCAAAATGCCAAGTGAAAAAGCCATTAGCCAAACAATGGTTTTGGCGGTTCGCTTGGTCAAAAAAGCCAAAGTCAGTCAAAGATGCAAAAAGCTATCCCAAATGCTGTTTTCCAAACACGGCCTATATGTGTAGAAATTTAAGTATTAACCATGATTGAAGTCCTTAAAATGGATAAAAATTCAAGTTGCTCTTGATTATGTTTATTTCATGTCATAATCATTTATACCTATAAATAGTTTGCTATATATGCAGTGGGCATCAAGATGTTAATTATCTCTTAGTTTTATTTCTTGTTTTCCATATAAAGAAGCCACCCTGGATGGAACACGCAATATGCCACCAAATTTCCAAGTTTTTCACCAGATCAATCTTCTGTCGCATACTCAGCTCCCTCCGTTTGGAAAAAATACTTTTGTCTTAATTTTATACGCATTCCATAAAATACTTTTAATTCCATATAAAATATCTAAAATACATTTCATTATGTAGTTTATTGTGGGTATAGTACTCCCTCCGTTCTCAAAAAGAGTTCTTACTTTGAAAAAGTGAAAAAATAATGAAGAGTTAAATTGTAGTTGACTTCCAATTTTACCCTTGATGTAATGGGTAAAAGTAAGATGTGATGGGTAGATTATTAGAGAAAAAGTATGATGTGATAGGTAGGGTATGAAAAAGTAAGGGTAAAAGTAGTTTTTTAATAAAAATTGGAAGTGTTTTGTTGGAAGTGAAAAAAATGAAAGAGGAAGTGCGTGGTTTTGAGAACGGAGGGAGTAGAATTATTTTCGAGGTATTTTAGATATTTTAGGTAGTGTAAAAATATTTTATGGAATACGCAAAAATTAGGACGGAAGTATTTTCAAGAACGGAGGGAATATGTTGTTGCATTGTAATTGTTTTTCACCAAATTAAATTTCATTCCAATGTTTGTCCTATATCCCTTTTTATTTTGTGACTTTTCAGTGTCTCAATGCTTTATAATTTATATATTGGTTGTGACCCAAAATGATTTACACTATATGAACAACATGTTAGATTTGTATATGGATTTTTTATATTTAATCTCCTATTATCAAATATTATCCTCATGGTCTTCTTTCTTTTATGGGTACATTTTTCATGAAGAGCCTTTTTTTGACAATTATTATACCCTCCGTCCCAAATTAAATTACATGGTTGTTATTTACAGCGTCAAACTTCATTTACTTTTTTTCCCTATTATCGTTAGTCATTTGACAAAATAATATATTCATGTTCACTAGTTCTGTAGATCTTTTGATGTAATTTTTATTTTTTAATTCGACACCATTTCTCATATAAAATGATCTGAAAACTTCAGTCAAACATCGTACACCGAAACAAACGATTTAAATTGGGACGGAGGGAGTAATATCTATATTTGTATATAGACATATATTTAAAACTATAAGGGAGAACTCCTTGAACATACAAGAGTAAATTGGGACGGAGGGACTGCCACACTTTACACTTACCACATTGTCACACTGTAACTGACACACTATCACTGTCACACTATCATCCGCTGTTGCCGGCCACTAGAGTACCATCGTGGGTCACCGACGGTTGACTGATCACACTGCCATATTACGTTGTCATCACCTTTCCATCACACTACCTACGCGCATGCTTACATCACACAGCTAGGGATGTTCATCGGTCTAAGACCAGACCAAACCGTACTGATCTGACCAGATCGAAGATCGAATTGATAAAATCTCAAAACAAAGACCAGTCCTAAATCTATTCGGGCGTGGATCAGACCGAACCGAAATATTAAGGACCAAACCGGTCTGGATCGATTGGACCGAATAAAAATATTTATATTATTTATTATGATCTATTAAATGTATTTTAGGCTTTTAAATTGTACCATGCAAATAGGAAAAAATAAAAAATAGACAACCTAAAAATAGATACACAACATAGATTACTTCTATGTAGAATCATAAATACTAATGCAAAACTTTCACTACTACAAAAACGACCAAATAAATTGCCCCATTTGCATCGGTCAGTGGAATAAACGATTTAAAAGGTAAAAAAATTAGCCAATTGCTTAGCATTTAAATCGGGTTTTCCTAATAACTGATACAAAAGGTTATTTGCATCAGTTATTAGAAACAACCGATTTAAATACTGAAAACGTTTTGCATCGGTTGTTCCTAATAACCGATGCAAATAACCTTTTACATCGGTTATTAGGAACAACAGATGCAAAAGGGACTGTTAAATTGAGCCTCTAAAACGTTATCTTTACGCGACTTTGAAAAAAAAACCTCTAATGCTTCTGCTGTCAAATCCTTCGCTGTGCCTTGTTGTGCCACCCTTTGCCGACGCCACCCCTCGCCGTGCCACCCTTCGCCAACGCCATCTCTTCGCCGTGCCACGCCACCCTTGCCAATCCTTCGTCGTCGACTCTTTGCCGACGCCAACCCTTTGCTGCCATCTCTTCGCCGTGCGTCGCTTCCAAAGCTTCTGCCGCCATATCCCTTCACCGTCGCTCCCTAAGGTATTTTTTTAATATTTCACTTTAAATTTTTAATTATGCTAATATGTATTTGTTTATATATTTTTGTATTACGTGATTTTTTTATTTAAAGTGGTAAATATAATTTTAAATTTATTCCAATGTATTTTCTTTAATGACTTTATATTTGAAGTGCTTTTGTGTTTATGTTTAAGTTGAAATGTGACATTGTGATATAAATTGCGTTTGAAATATAGATTGTTTAATTATAGAAATGCTCCTTCCCAGAAGTTGCGCCAATTCTGGAAAGGTGCTTTTGAATCGGTTTAGCAACCGATGCAAATAGTAATCTCAGCATCTGAATCGCCAACATTTGCATCGGTTTCCAACCGATTTAAAGAGGTAAAACTGACCAATCCGGACATGACCTGACCAATCCGGAATTCATCACGTCCGAGTTCGATTTAGACCTAACGGTCTGGTTCAGACGATTTGTTCTGTTCGAACCTAAACTTGAACAGGGCTACACACTGCCATTATACTCATATTTTGGTTTTAAAAGACGTAAGACTCTGATCTTCTTTTGATATTTTTATACTACCTCTGTCCCACTGTCTTTGTCCACTTTTGACTTTTGGAACTGTTCATCTAAGCACTCTGACTCATCAAATTCTCTCAATGTGTAAGCCTAAATATAGTCATGTGTGATCTTGTTTGATTTGCCTTAACATATAGATTATTAATATATAATTTCTATAATTTTTTAATGTACAAATTACAAGATAAAATGAATTAAAGAAGTGCATTGGATGATGTGCCAAAAGGTAAGTGGACAAAGACAGTAGGACAAAGAGAGTATTTTTTTACTACTATCCTGAAAGATTTCGGGCATCCCCAATGAGAAGCCTTATAAGAGTCTTAAGACTATCTTCTCCAGACTTTACTATTGGGGTGCACAAAAAATGAGGAAAGTCTAAAAGGGAGACTTTGGATTTCCAAACTCACTCTCAAAGCTTTCAATTTAATCCATTTAATAGAAACATGTAATAAAAACATTTTATATTTAATTTTTTTTATGTTTGACATTCTCTCAAGGATCAACCAAGATGGAGTCATAATACATTTCAATTATTTCTACTTTTGTAATTTTAATTTGTTTTGCTTTTAATTTTATTCTATGCAATTTATTTTTATTTGTCTTTACTTAAATGATTTCAATAAAATACACTAATTTTATTTTATACTCCCTCCGTCTAAAAAGAATGGGACAGTTTGACTTTTTGGGAAATTAAGGGAGAGATATTTTAGTATTGACTTTCCAAAAATATCATTGATGTGATGGGTAAAAATAGGATGTGATAGGTAGATTATTAGAAAAAAGGTATGATGTGATAGGTAGGGTATGAAAAAGTAAGGGGTAAAAGTGGTTTTTTAATAGAAATGTAACGGACTTTACGGAACGCAGTTTTTTCTAAACGTAACAAACTTTTTGGGACGGAGGGAGTATATTTTATACCATCTCCGTCCCTAAGTATTTGTCTAGTTTTGACTTTTTTCGGTCAACCATTTTCGGCTTTTAACCTAAAATTAAATAAAATATATACTCTCTCCCTCCGGAATTAAACTACCCATTTGGACTTTTTCCCATTTTTATTAAGTGTTGACTTTAGGATGGAAATGTCCAAAATACCCTTCCCCCAATTATCCCCACCCACTGGCCACTACCCTTGCCCCTTGCTACCACCATTTCCGTCAATCCCATCCCACCCCTTCCGCAGGCCCAAAAAAGACCGTCGACCCCCCACCATCGCTGCAGCCCTCACCCCACCT